GGAAACGCAAGAAGGAGAAGAAGCACAGCTCCAGAGAGAAGAGGAAGAGACGGAAGGAGGCGGAGGCGGAGGTGGAGGCGGAGGAGGAGGTGGCGCCGCTGAACATCGACCTGACGCACACGCTGAAGGAGCTGCGCACCGCCTCGCCCACCAAGGAGCTGGGCCTCGACCGGCCCCTGCCGGAGCCCGACGACTGCCCGGACGGGGGGCGGAGGCGGGGGCGGGGCGGAGGGGCGCGGGGCGGGCGCAGGCAGTACAGCGAGGGCGAGTGGTCCAGCGACAGCGACGAGCGGTGCACCACGCCCGCCGGCAAAGACGACTGATCGGGGACATAATAGCTGCTTTCGGACGTTTTTGGGTGTTTCATTGTCTGATTCTAGCCCAGAGTGTTTGTCGGTTTGAATATAGGAAAGGTTGAAAATAAGTTGGAGTGTTATTAAATTCACCCGAATGTAACAGGTGAGGTATCCGACGCAGATATATGCAGTTGAGTGCGTTTTTACCATTGAAATTAAATGTTCCCATGATATACTTATTATGGTTGTCGCCCACCTGAGTTCGTAGCACAGCGTTACAGCAGATTTGAAGTTTTTTTTTGCAATTTATACTTAAAAGGATCAATGTATATGCGTTATCTACTAGTTCATAAAAGACAATTGCTTTCTCATGCTTATTTATATTTAGGCATATAGTATGTTATAGGAGACACTTTGCTGAAACTTGCCTCAAGACCAATTAAATGTACTTATTTGTATGTACGATTCCTATTATTGTGAAATCTATAACTAATATGAACTCAATGCATCAATTTGAAACTTATATTTAATGCTTAACTTATTATTTTTTATTTCATGTTTATTAAACACTAAAATTCTCAATAGCGAAATAACTCGAAACCTTAATTACCTATATAATAGAACAAATTTAAGATGCTCATTATAAAGGTAAAATTGTTAGAATACGATAGACGCATGTATATTATTATTAATAAGATTATATTCACTAATACAAGAAGGATATGTTTATTCCATTTACAAAACAGTTTTTATGTATGTAGTATTTTATATAACATAAACCAGAAATGAAAATGTCCTGTGAGTATGGCAGTAATTTTTTACACAGCCTGTTCATCCTTGACAGAGCGTTGATTCAAACGTGCTAATATAAAAAATTATTAGTGAATGTCGCTTAAAGCAATAATTATTTTATCCATAAGGACAAAGCTTATCGTGTACTCTAACATTTATGAAATAAATTAGAAAAGGAATTATAGTATACTATTTTGTAAGAGTAGATAAATATATTGTTTTATATAATAATTCTTTTCATTTCTACGTTCTCAACACCTCGCAGCTTGAATGGGTTAGCAGGTTCTTAGACTTTTATTTTGCCCAAAACTTCTTTAGATCACCTAAATCATTCTCAATAATTAAAAATAATATGAATGCTTCATTTTTAACATTCAACTGTTATTATTTTGTTTAAAATTTAAAAATTAAACGTCCATTGCGTAGGAAACTTGTTTTTTGTGGCTTAATTATTACTCACACAAATTAGCATTATAACAAAGAAATAAAATCTTTTTCGAACTTAACCAGTGTGATGTTTTATTCGAAAAGATGGCTGAATGAACGGTTTATCCATTGACTGGTGAGAACCATCGCCCTGATGTCAATTACTGAGGAAGATGCCTCGCTCCGGGTACATACCTCACCTGAGTTATTTTACACTGATCCTTGGTACTTTTCACATTTACCATACCATCATTCTACTATAGTAATTATAATAAAACTTCTGATATGTAAAGTACCTTCAAAAAATTTGCTCTAATGAAAACAAACACTTGAATGCTACTAATATTATAAATGTGAGTGTAAGTTTGTTACGCTTTCACGCCATAACTACTCGACCGCTTATCATGAAACTTCGTACACATTCTTGAAGGTATAAAAAAGGACATAGGAATATTTTTATTAAAAAATGTATATTTAAATAAAGGTCTTCACTGCGGGCGAAAAGCCAGTAATTCATAAATGGAAAAATCATGTTTGAACAATTAAACTTCAACCTTTCGCTAGTTCACAGCAAACGTAGTGATTACATTCTCTTTGGTTCACAGTTAAGCAAATTACAAAGCACGGTGATAATCCGCTATCTTTATAAATAAATAGTACAATCAATGTATGTTTAACCCTCGACTGTTAAATAATAAACTCATCTCATAACAATTATAAACGAACGTAAAGCAATTGTGTTATCACTATTGATAAAAACAAATTTAATGCGATTGTATTTGCATATTTTGTGAAATGATATCATAAGCATTAATTATTTTTGACTCCCAACGATTTCTGTATTCTGTACCATCTTATTTATGGTGGATTTTGGATTTTTCAAGGGCACATAAAAAGCTTTTTACGGCACTTCTGATATGAATAAAACAGGAAAGACTACTTAAAAACAACCTGCAATTTGTGAATACTACACATTATAGCAAAACTTTTAATAACTTTTGTCTGTCTGTTTGTTTCGGCTAATCTCTGAAATTGCTGGACCGATTTTGACTGGCTGTGGTTTTTTCACTGGCCGATCGTTGATGTAATAAGAAGTAACTCAGGCTACTTTTATTTTAGAAATTTTATTTATTTTAAATTCCACGCGGACGAAGTCGCAGACACACATAGTTATTGATAAATTTTTATCCAGCCAGTTCCAAGAAAATAAATGTTTGTACTATTGCTAGTATTTAAAATACGTTTAGCAATTGATGTGTAGATTGGACTAAAATGGATAATTATAAAGTTGACGGAAGCGTCAAGTGGCTTACAAACATGTCAATCTCGTAACTAAAATCATGCTTAGCATTTATTTCATACGAGGAATTATAGTTATATTAACTATATAATTATTTAGGCAAAAATACCTTCTATTTAAATGAAAATATTGAAAAGAAAAAAATTACATGGGCTTCACTTCTAGTTCTCTAGTTTCTTCTGGTTTACCCGTTTACGTTAAAGACCATTAATTAATAACTTTTCAATATATACTTGTATATAATCAAAGTTAATATGCAAATAATCACGTATTAGTAAAACCACTCTACGTTTTCTGTCGTGCTTACTTCTTAATGTTCTGAGGAGCTGTTCAGATAAATTTTCTCCCCTGCAAAAGTCACAGAACAATTTATAATGTCTTCATCTAAATGCACACCAGTGTTATTTCCGAACCGATACGATCTAGCACCTTCTAAAAGACTGACGCAACTTGTGACTTTCTGAGCACACTTTTTGAATGGAGATCCTCGCAGATAGGTACTCTATAAAATAGATTGTGGAGATATCTCCAGTCTAATGTATTCCACAGAATCGGGCTTAATCATATTATTAAAGACTAATCCCTAATACCCTGCAAACCGTTAAGTTATATTGTGATTACACTGGATTATCTTTGTCCTTAATACTCTCGTAAAAACATAATTCAATACACTCTATTTGTTTGACTTGTCTTGGCACATGGTTACAGACTTTTACTAGGTACATATCGAGGCTTAATCTCCTCATTGAGTGATTCTCCAATTTAAATATGGATTACATTACATTTTGTCTTTCTACATTACATTGTTTATATTTGTACACAAGGGATAGTGAGGGTTCTAATGTTCTACATAAATATAGGAAACGAAAAATGCGCTGGCAAATAAAATATTCGTATTAAGTGTGTTCCCGTTTCCTACAGGCTTTGTTCTTTTGTTACCTATGTACTTAGCGCATGAACACTCATACATAATTGAAACTAAAATGTAGTGTTGAAATGAAAGTGTAAAGAGAGGGTAGTCCGTAGTTGTATTGGATCTTGCTTATAAAAAAAAAAACATCAACGAAGGCCAATTATCAGCTCCTCGAACTTCTGACACTAAGATATTACCTATATGTCAACGGCGACAAGTCCAACCACTTGTCATCTTTACAATATTATAACTTTGATATATGAACTTTATAAAACAAATCCTAAACCCTAAACTCTGACTTCCGTTACCCTAATTCTGATGAAAGTCTCTGTGTAACATTGTTTAAAATTATAAAAAAATTGGAATTGAGGTAAAGGTAGTTTAAAACAGTTAATTAATATCATTCAATTATCATTTTTTTATGTAAGAAGGTAGCAAGCGACCTGATGGTTCAGCTGATGTTAAGTGATAATCGCCGCCCATAGACATTTGCAACACCCGTAGGCTTGCACACGCGTTGCCACCTTTTAATAAAGTAGGCTCCGGTTACCTCACTCACTAGACGAAACGCAGAAGTATAACACTTTCACTAGGTACACGCCGGTCTTCTATGAGGTTATGCTTCTTCTCCGGACGGGCCTGCGCATTTTTGTAACAGCGAAGACTGCTGCGTGGCCCTACCAACGTATATTCAGTTTAGATTAGGAATATCTTTATATATATATATATGTGTCTTCAGGTCGATTCGAGAATGATTTAGATTCACAATTCGGTCCACTACATGTTTTTTAATTTCTAAGTTGTCGAATTTAAGTCTTCTGTACAGGACAACGGCTGTCGGGTCCGCTAGTATAATATATATTTACACATTCCTGATCTGACTAAATAAAATGTCTTCACGGATTGAGGAGAGAAAAATACTTAAAAGGCTAGACTCATACAATATGGGTGCATGGTGCACCTTTAGGCCGACAGACGAATGCATACTCTAGCTACCTTACATATTCCAGTTTTGATTAAATTTACTAGTTTCTGTTTATTTTATTTAAAACTCGGAAATCGTATTGTTAGAAAACAAAATAGACGGCAAATTGGACTCAAAGCACAAATAGCGCGCTGCAATTCACTATTTTACAATCCATTGGATAATTTAAAGCCATGATTATCTAGGTGTAGTGCGCGTTTAAGATGCGACTAGAGAACAGTATATAAAGAGCGAGGCGCAGTTGCACCGTCCATCTCGGTTGCTCAGACCCTGGAGGACATCAGGACAATGACCGCGGAAATCGTGAGTTAATGTGATTCCGAACACCTCCCCACACTCTTCACAATTTGGTTAACCTAAGCTTAAATTGAAAGCTTCATTTTGTACGGTATCAATCATCACAACTGAATCGCGAATACGCAATATACTCACGTTGCATTATTTTAATTTTTCATTCACATTATATATATTAGAGAGGATTTGTAATCATCATCATCATCATCATCATAGAAACCGAATAAATAATACAACCGAATAATGAATCCTTTTACACTGGCGTAAAAAGCATTGACAATTGCAAAAACAAAGTGAACTTTTCGGATATTAAACTTGTGTCGATGATTTGAAATCGTGGATACGGGGCACGGCGTTTTTTAAAAGCACTAAGCTAACTAGGCTTTAGCACATTTTAATTAACCAAGTGGATCGCTCAACTACGACACTTAGCTCCACATTTAATACAATTCTACTCTCCGGATGAAAGCATAACGGCGCCGTGTCGATGCTGGACCCGTCGCAGCTGCTCCGGCCCGAGAGGGTGTACGATGGCAAGCCAGTAGACGCGTTCCGGGACTACTCGGTGGACAACGAGGATCCAATCAAGGAGCGCGTGCGGAAAACCTATTACACCATGCATACGAACGTCACGGTCGACCTTGTGAAACGTGAGCTGATTGCAATTAGATGAAATCGCTTTCTTGGAAGGAACATAACTTTATTCTTCTGATTCTAAAATAGGATACCATCATCTTCCACGCCTACTACTCAGTTACTCTTGTCTGCATTCTTCCTATTTGCAAAACTTTCTAGTTCATATAAAATAAATGCATTAGTTAAATTAATTCCTTATAAATGTCCCACTGCTGGGCAAAGGCCTCCTCTGGACAGAGAGTATTAGGGCATAGTCCACCACGCGACCTTACTGTAGATCGGCGGACTTCACATAATTATCTTCGAAATATTTTTTGGTTATTATTTCGAAAATATGCAGGATTCCTCACGATATTTTCACAAGTCAGCACTTAAAATTACCAATTTCATTGGTGCCGGCACCGTGGTTGGAACTCAACTTGCTCGATAATAATGAATTAAAAGCGACCGCCCCGACACCGAGTAATCAATGGTTAACATTTACTAGTGATTATTACTGATGTTTTTCCTGTTTAAATAGAGAAACGCGAGAAATGGTTGAAGTTCAACCACTTCACGGCGACTGTGAAGGAAGCGCTGATCAAGCTGAACGATCTGGTGGACGAGTCGGACCCCGACACGGAGCTTCCCAACATCGTGCACGCCTTCCAGACTGCGGAGCGCATCCGCCAAGACTATCCCCACGACGACTGGTTCCACCTCACCGGGCTCATTCACGACCTCGGCAAGGTCGCTTAGTATTACATAATTATATTAATCGACTCTTTTGATGATCAATTTTGAACCCCGATTTTTATAGCAATATTTTCGAATTGAAAGCATCGTGATATAATGTACTAAAGTATTAAACTATGTTAAACTCGTATCTAAATGATGATATTATAATGTAGTACATTATACCTACTGATCCATTGATTTAAAGGTGCGATTCCTAATTTCATTTTCAATTCATTCAATTCAATTCAAATTCAATTCTGTCGGCTTTACCTTAAATAAGCCTGTGCTCGGAAAGTTCACTTCGGATCGTTGCGTCATAACATTTAGTTATAACCTGCTATAAAGTGTTTTGACTTCATAGAATAACTCATAGAATATTTCGTAGAATATGACATATTTATTTGTATTTATGCACATTCACGATCGTTATCTGTGCTACTGCCAAATTGTCAAATTATTTATTTTACATCGATATACACAGAAAGTGCGAATTGAATCTTGAAGTCTTGCAATGGCGGCGTGCTTGGCCTTAAGTTATAGAATTCCAAGTTGTTGATAATCTAAGTAATGCTTATTTTTTCGGTGACAGGTGATGGCGTTCTATGGGGAGCCGCAGTGGTGCGTTGTTGGCGACACGTTCCCCGTCGGCTGCAAGTGGGCCGACTCCATCGTCTACGGGCCGGAGAGCTTCAAGGATAACCCCGACACCTACAACCCCAAGTATAAGTAAGGGCTGAATGCTATATATTCAGAATAAAAAAGATCGCTAATGTACTTAGGTTAATTTAATGATACTTTAACATTTTTAAACCAAAATACATATTACTACGCTCTCTTACTTAAATGTTCGAAAGTGGCTTCGTTTGCCTAGCTTAGTAAGCGAGTGTAAATGTTGTGCGATTTGTATTAAATGTCTAAACCGAATGCCAAAGACTAAACCTAAAGAAGTTTTTTCTCATCTAATGATCTTTCTGCAGTACAAAGTACGGCATATACAAGCCTCATTGCGGCCTAGACGGCTTGATGATGTCGTGGAGTCACGACGAGTACCTCTACCAGTTCCTACTTCACAACAAGTCTAAGCTACCCGAGAAAGGACTTTACATGATAAGGTGAGCAAACTCATCACCATTTATTAACAAGCAATAAGTTAGTTAATGTTAAATATCTTGATTCTGTTACAAAAGAATTTTTTTCTGGTGTAAAATAAAGTTGTCTCTAAGGTGAATCTGAGGGTAAATGATGCTAAAAATGATGAACTGGACAACGAATCTACTTTAAAAAAATGTTTGTTAAGGCATGCGTACATTGTAATTTCATTCTGATATCAGATATCACTCCTTCTATCCATGGCACGCGGGTGGGGACTATCGCCACCTCACCAACGACAGAGACGAGCAGATCCTGCAGTGGGTACTGGAGTTTAAGTGAGTGTAAATTTTATTGTATCTCTCATCTTCTCAATTCCTCTCTTACATTTCAGAGAGGGTATAATTGAAACATTCTTAGTTCTACGTTAACAAAGCAAACTTATATACTTAGTAGTATGTAGGTACTATAAGTTTGCTTTGTTTTTCGAACGTAAAATTTTCAAAGCCTTTCAGTTTTTCTTGTTTACCCACACAGTCAAAATAATTTTGCATGTAGGGCACTGAGGGTGAGCTAAGCACAGACTAAAAGAAAAATGTATTTGTCGCCCACTATCTAAATCATGACGCGTCACGTATGTCTCGTGTCACAGTCACAACGTCATCTGTACGGCTGTCAGTATTCCTTCAATCGTAGCGATGTCTTTAAGCCAGATACAAAGAGGGCCTTGAAGACGTGAATGTAAACTCTGTTGCAGCAAATATGATCTGTACACGAAGAACGCGCCCGTGCCCGACATGGAGGCGCTGTGGCCCTATTACGAGGCTCTCATCCAAAAGTACATCCCCGGCGTGTGCGAGTGGTGACACCAGACTGCAGACACGTCTCTGTATCACTATTCTTAGTTTAACTTTAATTTTAATTCCGATGAACCGAAATCGACAAAAATTATGTATTTTGAAAGAAAAATAGAACTAAATAAAAAATAAATAGAAAGAAATAGACAATAATATTTCCATAAATCCCTTCCAATTTACATAAATCCTTTTTTCATAATTAAATCTATCACGATGTGTCGTTGTCGCACGTTACATTGTGTCTTAATTTATAAGATAAGTCCAATTTCAACGTTCATCTTATAAATTCGGCTCCATTTTTCATTGTATAAATATAACGCATAAATAATATAAATGTTATTATTTAAATGAAGTCTTATTTACTTGTTGTACTGGCTTTACGCAGCCTATCATATTTTGGTTATTATATAAACATAGATACAAAAATGTATAATATAATATTAATTATTACTCACCGGAGTGCGAACAGATGTGAAAATTACCTAATGTTAGTAATTTAAATTTATAAATTACATTCATAACATAATTGATCTGAAAGTAAAAAAAAACATTACCAAGGGTTTAACTTTTAATTTCTAACGACAGTCGCCATGACTCATGACTGCTTATTTTTGTTTCTATTTTTGTCCATATTTCCTTAATAATAAGTGAATAGGGAATTAGATTTCATAATGTTTAGTATGGGCAATCCTTTATTTATAAACATCATTTAGGAGAAAAAGTCTCTACGTTGCCTTGAAAGTGTTAGCATCTCTCAATGGTTTGATGGGATTTTGCGTGTGTAAGGATAAGATTTGCTGCTATCGTCAATTGACAACGCCCCGCCCCCGGATTTGCTCACGTCCATTGAATTGACGCTACACGACTGGCTCGCCCGTTAAGGTTGCTTCTATTTTTAGACGGACACAAAGCAAATCAGAATGTTTATGCTTGTTTTATTTTGTGACGTAATTTATTGAAAGTAAGAAGCTCAAAGGGTTAAGAAGGATCGCGAAGCACGGGTGAAATATTACATTTTTCTGACAAATTTATCATGGAAAATCATCTATCTATGATCACGTCAATGAGTATCTCTTATCACTTCTAATTGGATAATATTTAAAAGATCATAGCGACCTTTGACAATGAAGATAAATAAAGGTCACGATAAATAATGATGACTGTAATATGTACGTTAACGTTATATCTGCAGAAGCTGGAAGATACCATGTGGAAAAACAACAGATTGTATAAAATGTGATGGCAAACGTTACGTTTATTAAATCCCGCGCAATGGATATAAATGGTTTAATCAAATCAAGCAAATTTTACGTTCGAATATAAATAATTATATATATCATATTTTTACAAAAATTATTCTTAATTTGGCGTTAAAAATAATACAGGCGTAATTTTATCGCTGTAAAGCTACAGAGAAACTTCAACTTTCGCACGAATAACCCGGATCGTCATGGAATTAGCTCGACCTCTTATCTTTTGAGGGGGGCTAACTTTCCTCATTAACGCCCCCCCCGAAATAATTTAATGAAATTATACCGAAGCAAAGATCAATCTCATGAGCATTGGCTTGTGGCCCTTGAGCTAATGCCATTGGTAGAACACCACACGTCGCAGCGTGGGGGCTTTGCGTGAATCTGCCATTGCTTATCGCTCATGGCTGCGATAACATTCAGTTGCTTGTGGCGATTCGCGATCACATTTAAGGAGGCGCCGCGGCCAAGGCTCGCCAGTCGCAGCCGCATCCTCAACAAGCACACGCCGCCGATATGAAAGTGAAACCGGTGAGTCCCCGCGGCCACCTCCTTGTCAGCCGCCTTTGTGCCCCGTCTAGACAAATAGGCAATAAGCCTATCGAATTCTACTCAACTATATATATAATTTTGTGCCCGGTATCAAGCAGCTTTTCGGTATATTTGATATATTCGGTATATACGAGCAAAATAATTCCTATTAATTTATATGTTTTTGTCAACTTTTAAACATGTTATAAAAAAAAAGTCAAATTATATGACCATAGACATTTTTAACGACAGTATGGACAAGTTCAAGAGAAATCTGTCCACTTACAGTTTTTTATTTAATTAGAGTAAATTTCTTCTTTATCTCTACAGTTTTCTTTTTTTGTTATTTTGTTAAAAATTATGTTATTTTCTGTTTTGATTATATGTTTATTTTAGTGTAAAGTCAGTCAACTACTGTATTAATTCTTTGTTAGCATTTAGCATACTTCAATTATTATTTTTTTAGCAGTTGTCAATATAATAACTTTTGAATGTCGTTTCACCTGTAATTGAGATACTATTTAGTTGAAGATACTATGTACTTATTTATGTTTTAAGCTTGTTTTGATGTATCTTGTTGTGAAGTAAATAAATAAATAAATAAATAAATGTTTACCCGATAGGAAAATATAACATAAATATTGTGATCTATCTTAAACCTATATTATACCTGCACAAAATGCGTCGCTGTTATGCCCTTTGTTTTGGTAATAAATATAACAAAACAAAAGTGAAGTCATTGCCGACGTCATGCCGATCTATGTCTACTATTATTTCTCATGCAAATTTGTTCTCCAACCATCTTCATTGATCATACTCTTGCTAATTATTTTTCTCATAGGTAACCATTCTGTTTTTGCACTTTTTAGTCATCGCACTTACGGGCGAATATATCACTCGGACCGAACTAGGCTGTGTTGTTATCCGCTTCTAAATTTATAAATTACATTCAAATATCACACATAGAAAGACGCAGTTTGATTGTTGTTACGTTCACTGTGTATGATAGGTGTCTGAAACTCAGCTTTGACGTCACGGGGTCAATCAGAGGCGTGCCTCTGCGACGCTTCCTCTGGGGATTCGCGTGACCACGTGGCCAGCGCCGCACGAGGATAGCTCCAATAAGAGCAATCACGTGCCACCGATGTTATTGACCTTCAACTGCAATAAAATAAACCGTCAGCTTTGAAACAACTGCGAGAGCGATCCTAATCTCCTTGACATGACGCTGACAATGACAATGACTCTGAGTTATGACGAAACGAGAGAACACGTATAACTTTAGATTTGGTTGTCCGGCAATCGCATTTACAGACCTTTAGACAGTGTGGTCATCCAGGGAAGTACCACGACCTCAAATAAGACTGGCAAAAAGTGGAACTAAATTTTCACTGTTAATCTGTGAATGAGGTAGCCGGTGAGACCCGGCTATTTAACGTTTGCAACTCATCTGTACACGAAGAGCCCTTTGGTTTCTTATGCGGCATAAATAATCACTTATTATCGGGTGAACCGCGTGCTCTTATTATCAGGTGAACTTTTACGTAGAAACGAGAAGGTGATTTCTGTACTATATTCACGTACGTTCTGACCACCCAATTGATGTGGTGGATAGTGACCCTGTCTCTTGCCCCAGAGGGTGTGGGTTCAATCCCCACTACTGTAAAAAAATATTGTGTGATGAATAAAGATGTTTTTCTAGTGTCTTGGTATATATCTATAATATGTATTTATTTATAGACGAAAAGTACGTATATCAGTTACCTAGTACCCATAGTACAAGCTTTGCTTAGTCTGAAACCGGTGGTACCTTACGAACCTATATACATAATTTTTGATGTAAAATTTGACGATACATAAGAGCGCGCGAGCGTATATTTGAATAAATAGACGCTCGCGCTCACGTTGTGTAAAAATATGTTTGGAAACATTTCTTTATTATCTAAAAGGAAAAGTCGGTGGGCATGATCGACCCGTCGCTCCTGCTACGTCCGGAGAAAGTGTATGATGACAAGCCCCTGGAAGCGTTCCGAGACTACTCCGTGGACGACGAGGACCCCATCAAGCTGCGCGTGCGCAACACCTACTACACCATGCACACCAACATGACCTTTGACTTTGTGAAGAGTAATTACATCATCTATGCACTCGATAAACGTTTATTATGCCGTACATCTGTTGACATTTTAAAACGCCGTTTCGCGCAGGCAAAATGGACAAGTGGCTGCAGTTCAACCACTTCAAATCCACTGTGAAGGATGCCCTGATCAAGCTGAACGATCTGGTGGACGAGTCGGACCCCGACACGGAGCTTCCCAACATCGTGCACGCCTTCCAGACTGCGGAGCGCATCCGCCAAGACTATCCCCACGACGACTGGTTCCACCTCACCGGGCTCATTCACGACCTCGGCAAGGTAACTTCTTCTTACGCTGATCACTGTTATAAGGTATCAATGGACTTGCAATAAAACATAACGTGTAAAAAACAGCTGCACCTTTAGTTACTGCTCTATTCGAGACACTGTCTGGGACCTACGGTCTTTTACGGATATTTTTTATGTGAAAAGTTGCCAAGCAAACAGACGGTTCACATGATGTTAAGTGAATACCGCCGCCGCAAGACATCTGCTTCACCCGAGGGTTGGAGATGCGTTGACAACCTTTTGAAATTTGGGCTCCGGCCACCTCACTCACCAGACGAAACGCGAAACAATTATACTTCCACTTTACGCCGGTCTTCTGTGTGGTCGTGGTATCTACCCGGACGAGCCTGTCCATTCGTGCAACAGCCGAGGCTGCTGCGTGGCCCTACCACCATAAAATTATTTACTTATACTAAACTTGACCACAGGTGATGGCGTTCTACGGCGAGCCACAATGGTGCGTGGTGGGCGACACGTTCCCCGTGGGCTGCAAGTGGGGCAAGAGCATCGTCTACGGCGACGACAGCTTCAAGCACAACCCCGACACCTACAACCCTAAATATAAGTAAGGTCAAAAGCTCCCGTATTATAAACCTTTCCAGCGGTATAACTCATGTCTATGTCCACACTTTTGATTTTTATGACATTGAAAATACCAAAAGAATCGCAAAATATTCATGATATTGACTTTTGATTTCAGCACGGACTGCGGCGTCTACGAGCCGAATTGCGGCATCGAGAGCCTAACGATGTCCTGGGGGCATGACGAGTACCTGTACCGGGTATTGGTCCACAATAAGTCCACGCTGCCAAAGGAGGCGCTCTACATGATAAGGTAATTGAGGGATACTTCATCTGCAAGTTCATCGAGAACATTTGGCCTTTTAATACACGTCTTTCATAAGTGACGAGGAACGCGATGCGCAGGTACCACTCGTTCTACCCGTGGCACGCGGGCGGCGACTACAGCCAGCTCATCACTGACAAGGACGACTACATCAAGGAGGCCGTGCTCAAGTTCAAGTGAGTTCAAGTTTTGTACATGATAATTGTTTAAACCATACTGTACCAAACTTTGTTAGCATTCGATTTGATTTTTAGCTGTTGTCAATGTTATAACTTTTGAATGTCATTTCACCAGTAATTAGGATACTGTTTAGTTTAAGATAGGTACTATATCGTTATTTATGTATTTCTAAGCATATTTCGTTATGCTACTTGTTGGTGAAGTAAATAAATAAATAAACTCTAGGTAATAAATTATTAAAGTAAAACATATTTAGCATCTTTCTATATTGAAAGAAGAGGAAGTTAAGATCTTGTGAAGTCTGCTAATCCGCGGTGGGGCTTCGTGGCGTAATATGCCTTTGTACAGAAGAATATTCTGCACAGCATTTAGACGTATTGTAATGTACAGACTGCTGCTTTATTTTACTTCACCTTCGGCAATTTTAGTAGATTGTCCACCTTCTAAAGCAATAATTAATTTATAATTTCCGTTTGTTCGACCTGCCAGCCAATACGACCTGTACACGAAGAGCGCCGGTGTGCCCGACATCGAAGCGCTGTGGCCCTACTACGAGCGCCTCATCGACAAGTACACCCCCGGCCTCCTCGAGTGGTAGACCTCCAACGACACCCATTGGCCAAACGAAACGGTGGTATTGAACAACGCCAAAGAATACTTCAATCTCGTCTGGAAACGAACATTTCTCCATCACTGCTAAATTTGTGATGTTGTTATTCGGTGTGATAAGTTGTTATTTAATTTAATTAATTTTTGATATATTTACAATGTTGTACAGTTTTTTTATGTATTCTGTATATTTTTTATATTATCGACAAATGTAAAAATATTTTAGAATAAGTTATTAAAGGCCCTTTTGCTAGTTTTTTTCTTTTTTATGTTTATGCTAGACAACTTATTGTTTACACAACATAAGTAGACGATCATCGGAGTTGAGGACGAGGGATGTAGCGGCTTGCTGTACCTTGCAATCGTGAATATTGAACTGCGGGATCGACATCAAACACTTATGTTGCTCGCTGTATCGCTGCATAAATTAATTCGTTTTCGCTGCAACAGGAGATGCTTTTGATACTGGTTATATAGTCTACGTCGGTTGTGAACACATTACTAGTATTTATGTGACCCACAGATGATTAAGATCTAGGTGTTTGTTCCCTAGAAGATTCAACGTTAGACACGCGGCCGGCACCAATCAATAACAATTACAATTGACGCAAAATACATTTCACATAAACGTTTTTTAAATTATATGTGCGCTCCTCAACCTTTGCCCGCGAATCTGCGATAAGCGATTATTACTTGATAATTACGAAGAGTGGCAAGTTTTAAAACAATCCATTAGACTTAATTTCAGGCTCTATTTAATAAAATAGAAAGTAATGATATAATTAAAAATTCTTTAGAACGGTTATAATTCTCACTTTAATTTAATAATTGCAGATACCTCAAGGAGATTATACTCGTAGATTTAAAGTGATTTATCAAAACTAGATGGCTTATAACAAATAATAGTAAGTAACGTAAAATATATTTACATTCATTTATTTACAGAAAAAAAACCAAGAAGAATTGTTTAATTCAATTATCAATATCTGTAGAATGTTTCCTATTTTCCTACTTTTACGTTTAGGAAATTAGGGAACCGGCGGCCTTATTAGCTAAAATAAGCGATCAGCAAGCGATCAGCGAAAATTGTGCAGACGACGCGCGATCGATTGCTTTACGTCAAAAAATTCGTATTACGTTACTCATCGCTAACCTATTGTTCGCTGATCGTAAATATGCACTTTTTGCTCGCTAAGCTGTCAAAGAAGCCATCGAGTAGCAATAGGTTAGTAAATGAAAAGTGGAAAGTTTCTAAAACAAATGTTTCTAATTTTATTTAAGTTTATTGAAAAACAAAAGCATGTGTTCAATAATCTTATTCCTTCTCATGTCCTCCAAAAGGCCTTCAACTTCTTTTTCCTTTGCAATTGGTATCCGTCTTGCTCGTTGACGAATTGGTCTTTCGCTTCCGGTATCTATCCTATGCTGAACCATCGAAGTTCTTCCAAGGTCCCCTTCTTGACTGGAGAAGATATTCGCGTAGCGCTGTAAAAAACTTCCTAGCTTTCATGCCCTGTGAATAAGTCAGATTACTCTTGCAGTTATCGAGTAGCTCAGTCACTAATCCGTAGTTGTTGCTGTTTGCTGGGTCTGCGCCTGTCGTCGAACTACACTTTTTCATCCAGACAACTTCCTCGCACTTTCCAATGACGTCACCTTTGTTCAAGCAGACCTCGCGATCACAGAGATTCAAAACCTTGACCACAGCGTTACTGCTTCCACTAACAAGGGTTCTTGTCGTCATCAGTTTTTGTGCCGATGTCTTGGTAGGTGTGTCTTCGATTAACACGCATCTGTTTGACTTTTTCTTTCCATTTGGCGGCAGTTTCACCAGCACCCGAGCTTCCGCTCATCCAGGTATAATGACTTTCTTTACACATGCGACTTTCCCGCAGGCGCCTCCAAGAATGAAGATTTCTTCTTCACCACACTTGAAAACTCCGTCAGCGACATTAACTCTGCAGTTGTGTTTCCTCATGAAATCCAAACCCAAGATGCAATCATCCATTATCTCTGCCACGATGACGTTATGAGAGTATGAGGACCCCCCTACATACATCGTGACGGACATTTCTCCCAGGACGGGTATTGGCTGACCGGAGGCAGTAAGAAGCCGGCAGTTAATTCTCCTTTTGAGTCCCCTTGCGGCTTTTACCAGATTAGGGTTCACTATTGTTCTAGAGGCTCCTGTGTCTAGAGTCATTTTGCAATCCGTCCCGCTAATAGTACCCTGAATCACAAGGCTATTCCCGCTGCATGCCTGGGAGATAACAGTTATCGGGGCCTCCTCCGCGTCAGCCAGTACTCGCCCCTTAGTACTGGCTTTTATTAGTTTCCCTGATCCCGGGCAGGGGACGAAGCCTCTCGCTTCTTCAGCTCCGCTATTTGTTCCTCGATCCATTTCATCCTTGCCATCTGGGTCTCCTTCTGCGGGCAGTTGAGCTGCAGATGGCCCCTCTCGCCGCACTTGTAACACATAGCTCCAAAACTTTTCTTTGTAGGAGCCTTAACCTCCTTGACTTCCTCAGAGACCTCGCGGATCTTATGGGTCTGCCGTATGTCATGGCGAACAGCCTCGACCTCTAAAGCATGCGCCAGTGCTTCCTTTAGCGAGGTATGGTGACGAAGCCTCACTGCAGCTCTGACCTCCAGGTCTTTGATTCCGTCCACAAATGCTTGAACAATATTCGTGTCTACCATCTTGGTGTCGGCTCCTGGGTGTGCCTTCGTGACGAGTTTTTCAATTTCCAACGCCCATTGTTGTAGTCCTTCTCCTGAGCGTTGGACTCGGTCACGCAGTTGGGCACGGAACACGTGCTCCAGGTATCGCTCCCCGTATCTGGATTCAAGTGCCTCCATCAGGTCTTGGAACCCATTTACGTGGTACGTGGCAGTGCTTCCAGGACCGACAAAGCTTGCCCTCTGAGCGCAACAGTGAGAGCGGTCAGGCATTGCTCTTCCGTCCATCCGTTGGCAGTAGCAACAGTCTGGAATTGCCGACGATAAGCGTGCCAAGAAGTAGTGCCGTCGTATGGCGGCACTTTCACTTTTGGTCCTTGTGCCACTCCAGTAGTGCCACTAGACATCGCGATTCCCGTGGTTTCAAGGCGCACTACTTTCTTCTGTAGTTCGGTGAGGCCGGTTTTCACATTTTCAACATCCAATCCTAACCCGGTAACTCGTCCTTCCACTACGTCGACATCTTTTCGAAGTTTAATCACCGTGTTACTAACATCATTTATAGTCCAAAGCGCCTTTTGTTGGAGGTCTTTTTGTTGCTCTTGTGATTCTCGAATCGCTCTGATTTCAGCCTTTTGAAACTCTTGAATCGTAGTCAGCTTGCGTTCTTGTGACTCTTGCAAAGCGCTAATTAGTTCAATTAAACTTCCTAATTGAAGAGCCATTTCAGGGGCTGCAGAAGTTACGGTGCCGTTTGTGGGCGTGGCAAGGTGGGCGGGGCCAGTGGGCGTGGCCCGGTGGGTGGAGTCAGTGGGCGGTGCGTGCACCAAAGGGGCGGGGCTTGTTTCCGAGTGGGCGGGGCTTGTGCCTGGATGGGCGGAGTCTGAGGGGCGTTGCCTGGTTGGTGGTGCCAGTGGGCGGGGCTTGTCCCGCAGTGGGCGGGGCTTGGTCCCCAGTGGGTGTGGCCTCCGCAGCTCGTGCCCTTGTCCTGACACCCTCCTTGAAGTCCTCTCTCGGAGTCAATGGCATCTCCACATCCCACTTCTGACACCAGTTGTTACGTGTTCGGGATTCGAAGGATTTGGAGAGAAAGACCTGCTGACTCTTTTGAAGACTTTATTTACTAGCCCTAGGTCCAACACAAAGCACTAGGTCCAATCACTAAGCACTAACGATGTCCTAGATTGTAGCCAAGTCGTAGGTTTCACTGGTATCGCTCTTGATCACTAGTTTTCACTCCGAAGTCGCCTCGAAGGTAGCTCAAACTGAACTGCCCTCGCTCGCCTCCCTGCGGCTTTTTATATGGGCCGAGACCGGTTCCGGACTAATCCAGAAAGATCATTCCTGGAACGTACCCGACACGCACGAACATGTTCGTGATTCCGGAAAGTTCGCGAATGTACCCGGTTTTCGAGACTATAGTTCCACAGCAGTTCCTCTAACGCCATCTAGTGTTGAATAGGGGGTTTTATGTCGTCTGTTCTTTAGTGGTTTTAATAGTTGACGCTAGATGGCGTTCGTTCCTTTGTGTGTTCATAACAATATGATTCCATCGAATTAGAATGAAATAAGGTACAGGCAGAAAATAAACTTGCAATACTGCACTTATAATGGCAAAAGCATCTCGAGTGTAAGCTGAAGCTGCTCATGTACAGGCAGTATAAGCATGCTATTGGAGCTTGTTTGCAAGTAAAGTGAATAAATTCATGTGTTGCTGAGCTGAGTCAAAGCAGCTAATAAAATGTAATGAAACAATAAATGTACTGTAAATCAATATGTTCTTTTATTTTATTTCCCGCAGTAAGTAATAACCAATTAACAACAAATACCACATAATTAGTACACTAGCACTGTTTGGATTAACCAAAGCAAATACAAATAATTAAAATTAAATATTAACAGCTATAAGATAAATATTTTACATTACTACTCAATATTTATTAGTTCATATAATATAATATTGCATATCACATACAATTTTAGTAACCATATGTTGATTAACTTACATAACCATATATTATTATTTTGTATTATCTTGAATGTATATTTACAATTTGTATCATTTATTGATTATTTTATTTATATTACTATTTAATGTTAAAATATTGATTTATACTATAATAACTTTTTATTAACAAATGCTTTTGTAATAAATATTTTTACATGCATTAAAAATTGAAATAAGGTTAATGTACAGCTTACAAATTATTGTTATAAAGGTTACTTTTTTGACTGTTGATCATTCTTCATATTCAATTGGGAATAAAAATGGCATACACTCGGCTAATTTGAAAATACAATTTAATA